TTGTACTCTGATTCTGTACTTACTTCAGCACTTCGATATACCGACAGTCAACTTGGCACCGCTGAAGGGACTGCAGCACCGCCCAAATTTCGACGGAATCAAAGGCTTTCTCATAGTCCGCATACGCCAGACATAGTGGCAAAGTGTACTCCTCGGACTTTTGTATAATTTGCCGAAGGGTATGTATGTGGTCTATGGTGCTAAAGCGTTTTCGGAAACCGGCTTGTTCGGGAGGTTGGAAGTCGTCAAGTCTGCGTGGGAGACGATTCGTAATGACTCTCGAAAACAGCACGTAGACGCGGCTCAAAATGGAAATTGGTCTGTAGTTTTTCAAGAGAGCGTTGTCGCCTTTCTTGAAGAACAAGACCACCGCACTTCTGCTCCACGCCTCCGGTGTAATGCCACCATGGAGGACGGAATTAAAGAGCTTCTGAAGGACTTCAATTACCGGTTTTCCACCCTCTTTCAGAAGCTCCACTGTAATTCCGTTGCCTTGCCGTTTTAAGGTGCTGGAGAACCATTCTAATCTCGCTCACACTGACGTCAGGGATATCATCGGAATAATGTCGGATAAGACTCGCTCTTGGATCGTTACTCACATTTGCGTGTGGCTCCAACGATGATGTGTATAGCTGCCCATGGAACCTCTCAATCTCACTCAAAATCTCAGGTGTCCCGGAAATGACGCTACCACACTTGGTCTTCAGCTTCGACAGTTGGCTCTTTCTGGCAGACAGATCTCTAGCAAAGACTTTGGAGCCCTGGTTTCGCTCGATCGCTTCTTCAATACAAGCAGTATTGAAGTTGCGTAAGTCACGCCGCATGCATTTGGAGATCTGTCTGTTCAGTTGCCTGTATGCTGTCAAATCTACTGAAGACTGCAGCTTCATATCCCGTCTAACAGCCATGAGATTAAGAGTGTGATCGGAGAGTTTTTGTGTTCTTCTGCGGCGGGCCTTGCAAAACTTAGCTCCGACCGCATGGACAGTTTCCACGAGCTTGTCATTCATATCATCCACTGCTTTGCAATCTTCTAGGCACTGAAAACGGTTTTGTAGCTCGAGTTGAAAGGTTTCGAGACTTTGGATTAGAGCACGAGGAGGACGGAGCGTTGACTTCATAAGACGTGACCTCTCCAATTTAACGTTTAGGTTCAGTGTGCCTCTCACCATTCGGTGATCGCTGCCGGTTTTCACCCTCGCGATCACTGAGACATCACTGAACAGTTGTCGTCTGGTCGTCATAATGAAGTCAATCTCATTTTCTGTCGAACCGTCGGGGCTCGACCAGGTCCACTTCCTGTGGAGCCGCTTCTGGAAGAAATAGTTCCTCATAAAGAGTCCCTCTTTCTCCATGAAGTCGGCCAGCTGCTGGCCCTTTGGGTTACGTTGCCCTATTCCGGATTTCCCTACTTTCAGCTCACCGTTCTCTCTTGTGCCTAGTTTTGGCTCTAGAGATATCTTCATACATTTCCTCCACCTCCTCATCGGGGTGTGCCGAGGTTGGTGCGTAAACATATATAACGTTCAGCGAATACCGTTTGGTGATTCTGAGTATAAGGTACGCAACACTCGGCAACACACTCCCAATTATTATATATAGATTCGAGGATTACCGTGTCCTCCCCCTCTCTTCGGACCTCGGATAATCCTATGATATTCCAGGGCAATTTGTCTAACTCTTCTTCCAGCTCCAGAATCTTCTCGCCAGTCCTCAGGGTGCATGCGTTATAAGTTGCCAGGTCGAGTCGTCGTAGGTGGCAACCAAACCTCCGCCGGAGATTCTTAGCACCCCCTGCCCCGCCGTTACCATGGTCGCCACCGTAGGCAGGAATAGCGGAGCCGCCGGGGACTGGGGGCCGTCTCTTTGTTACTCTCATCATTGGGCATCGCTTGGCAAGCAGTTTTTTTATTGTAAGTTTGTTGTTATCAGGATCTGCTGTCCATCTCCTGCCTGTTTCTCTTTGTCGCCTTTTACGACACGCACGGGAAGATATAGATAGGGTAGTGGATATTAGTTTAGTAGTTTATAGTTTTTATCCCGATAAATGACCCTTTTGATACGGAATCCTAAAAATTAGATATTAGTTCAAAAAAGGTTAAATATAATTTTACTTTTATATGATATTTTTGTTTCATTGTTTCGTGTTGTCATTTTAATGAAATTTATTAATTTTATTTACAATTATCATGAATTATCATAGTGTAACTATTTCAAATTTTGCTTTGTTTACATTGACCCCTATTACGAATTACACTTTCATCTGAAAGCAACATAAAATAATAGCGATAAATAAGCATACGATAAATAAAACTGGGCATGTTTCTGTAAAGAGCACATATTCATGGTTAACATTTAACCCACTGTTTAAAAAAAAGATGAAGAAAATCAATGGGGCAGTTGTAAACAGTCAATGTCATAAATGTATATTGTGCCTAGTCTAAATATTACTATTGTATATAATTTACAATATATTCAACTACTTTAAGGTACATTTTTATTATCATCGTCACTAATAGAATTTTAATAAATTTTATGCGAATTTGAAACACCTCTTAAAGTTTTTTTTTATTTACTGTTTACAATTACCCTGCCTGACCCTAAAAAGAATTCAACGGCTTAATTTTAAAAATTATCGGACAGCAAACTATTTTTAATCATGCGATAATCGCATGATTAGTAACAGCCACAAATTACATGTTTCCTTTTCTTTTTTATAGAAGAGGGGGCAAACGAGCATGCGGCTCACCTGATGGTAAGTGACTACCGCCGCCCATGAACAACCGCAACACCAGGGGAATTGCAGATGCGTTGCCGGCCTTTTAGAAAGGTGTAAGCTCTTTTCTTGAAGGTTCCTAAGTCGTATCGGTCCGGAAAATTCGCTGGTGGTAATTGATTCCACAAGGAAGTTGTGCGAGGGAGAAAACTTCTTCTAAATCGCACAGTGGTGGACCGCCAATCAGCCAGATGGTATGGATGGTAACGTGAGTTTTGTCGCGTTGTGCGATGGTAAAATTGAGCGGCTGGAATTAGTCCGAACAATTCCTCAGAGCACTCCCCGTGATAGATGCGATAAAATACGCAAAGAGTTATGTTTACATAAACACCAGCGCACTTAAAATGAAGTATAACTCCGCCTCCAAGTTCTTCAAAAGCGTCATTGCCAAGACAAGGTCTGAGCACGTCGGCAAAATTGGCGAGAAGCTAGTTCGCCTTCCTTCGGGAACCCGTGCATTCTGGTCTCTCGCCAAGGCTGTCCAAGGGAACTTCTGTCAGCCATCTCTTCCATCTCTGCACAGAGAGGACGACTCACTGGCCCATGCCGCAAAGGAGAAAGCCGATCTGTTGAGCTCTCTTTTTGCGTCCAACTCGACTCTAGATGACGGGGGGAACACACCGCCGACCATCCCGCGATGTGAGTGCTCCATGCCAGGTGTGCGGTTTACACAACGCTCGGTTCGCAAAGCACTCTTCTCCCTGGACGTCAGCAAGTCGAGTGGGCCCGATGGAGTCCCTCCCATTGTGCTGAAGACATGTGCTCCGGAGTTGGCACCGGTTGTAACGCGTTTTTTCCGGTACTCCTACTCCCAAGGCGTAGTCCCGAATTCATGGAAGACAGCTTTGATCCACCCGATCCCTAAAAAAGGCGACCGCTCACACCCGTTCAACTACAGGCCTATTGCCACTAATTCTGACTAATTCCAGCCGCTCAATTTCACCATCGCACATCGCGACAAAACTCACGTTACCATCCATACATACATCCATTAAAAGTCTACTTGACAGAAACAGTCTTCTCAGATCCGTTGAAGATTACCGAAGAAATGCTGATTACAATGAACAACTAATTCACTGTGGTATATTTGGAATTAATGTCTTACGTACTTGCACTGGTAACAAAATTCTTTAATCTTATTTCAATCAGAAATATTCCATCTTCACAAATTGAAACCAGAACTCGAAAACCTTTTGAAAACATTGTCTTCTAATTTCATGAAAATTAACTATGTCAAGTCCTGTGCTTATATTTTAAACGCAGACTTCAAAAATCCAAAACATTTTTAAGTTTAAACGAAATATATATTGGATCAACGGCTGGAGAAAGTATGGAAAATTTAAAAAATGACGAAAATGTACCTCCTACTGCTATTGCAGATTTCTATAGAACATGCCAGGAGTTTTATATTGAATAGACATCAGACATTACCAAGCGATTTGATTTCGGGGATCCTTTATTTTCTATTAAATCCGCTGTAAATCCATCAGAAGCTCAACAGTTTTTGTGTTTTATAAATTTGTGACCGCACAAAAATTAGTGAGACGAGTGGCGAAATCACGCTTTGTTAGATTTTGATCGACATGGACTTGAAATTCATGGAGATAACATCGACGCCAAAAGTTACTGGGGTAAAGTGTTTCGCCTTAAAAATGCTGCGGGAGAATACATGTTTCCAAATATAAAAATTGTTACGTCTTTGTTGCTCATACTGCCATTTTCAAATGCATCGGTCGAAAGAACATTTAGTGCGCTTCGATATTTAAAAACAGAAAACCGCAATCGGCTAAATACAGATACTGTAGTATCTTTAATGGCAACAAGAGAGGGGATAAAAAAATTGGGCTGCAGTGTCAAGTTTAATAATCCTTCGAGCAAAATGCTTGTATCCAACGTATGAAAAAAGGTAAAAAATTAATATTATTTAAATAGTTGAAACTTGTTTCATTGTTTAAAATAATATTGAGGAGAATTTGTGGGGAATTAGCAGATGTTTGTCCCCAAATTTGGGGAAATTTATTCAGATTTTTGGGGAATTACATACATTGGCATTGGCTACCCTGATAGGAAGTCTGTGGCTCTGTGGCAGTGATTTAAATACTCTTTGTTGAAACTTCCCTACATAACATTGTAGTCTTTGGTTGAAACCACAGAGTACATTATATAGTTGAAACTTAGTGTTCTGTGGTTGAAACCCTTCACTTTTTTCTAACCTTTAATTTTTAATTCACAATTTCACAATCACGTTTATCGGCCGTCATTGCAAGGGCTACATATTGTTACATACGTGAGAAATCAAAGGTGATTTGTTTTCATTTTTGTACAGAGTTCCCACCTACATCTAGTAGTCATTTTTTGACTTTTGTCTACATATGGAACCAGTTAGTCAGTTCGGATTTTTGGTTTGAATTGATCTCGTGATAGAAAAATACCAAGGTTGGATAGGATGACATGATTAGCTTTGGAAATTTTATTGCTTAAAGAAGATGTTCGAACATTCAATTAAAGTACCCAGGCACTACAAAGTTGCAGCAAATATTTTAAAGAAAGTTTCAACTGAAGGCGGCAGCGTTAAAACTTTACTATACGATAACAAACTCCGTCACTTTGTAAGTATTCATTTTCTTTTAATATTTACAATTTAAAAATTGCTATTTATTGGCACATTAACTGTGTTTGCAGAGGACTAATGTGCTATTCGCACTAATAACAGAAGCTATTAAACATACTACACATATCAATAACATTTTTGAAAGTTCTGGTCTTCTGACAAAAGAATCACGTTTAGACCCATGGCTGGCAAAAGTTTTGACAGCAGAACTACTGTTTGGCAAAAAGACTTTACCTGGAAAAAGTAAACCAGAACAAACTATACTATCTTACAAAGAGCATTTTAAAAAATTAACAGCCGAACATGAAGGTGACGTGAAGATTGAAGGTAATTATTTTATTTCTTTTTTTCAGGTCCGTTACTGCAAGTAATTTAAAGCAACAAAAATGGCTGATAACTCAGAGGGACCGCTTATACCAGCACATACGAAACGTGCTACATTAGTTTTAGCAAATCTTTTTTTGTATAGTGTGGCTATGTTTACACTACCCTTTATTGTATTTTTTGGCATCCGTCATATCCTCACTGATGTGTATCCTGTAGATACCTTTACAAGAACTGTTTGGTCAGTAGTAGGGGCAGTTGTAGTTGTAAATGTTATTATATTTGTGTATGCTTACAAAGCATACCATGAGAAGGAATATGATGAACATGGAAATGAAGTTGATCAGCATTCATACAAACCTGTTACAGAAACAGAGAAAAGTTCTTTAAATTTAAAACAGGATTGATACAAGAGTTTTATTAGTGGATTTAGACATTCCCAATAATTTACAGTATTATTTGACATATTTTTATCAATATAATTATTTAATGTAGATTACAACAAACTGTAATGTTAACCATAAAAAATAAAAATATTCATAAACAATTTTTTTTAATTCTAAAGTCTATTGTTATCTCAGATATAAGTCTTACTATTAAGGTATTACAAGTTCTGATTTTGCTTGTTTGTTTTAATAATCATATAATTTGTGGGACCAATCCACCTAGGATTTTAAAAGGTTAGGTAAAAAGTTTCTTCGTATTTTATATACAAATTCAAGACATTTATTTTTCAAAGTATAATTAAATTAAATTTAATTATAATATATATTTCCATTTTGTTCAATCTTTATATATAATAAAAATTACGTGTCACGTTGTTTGTCCACGATGGACTCCTAAACTACTGAACTGATTTCAATGAAATTTTTCACACTGTGTGCATTTTGGTCCAACTTGAGAGATTGGATAGTTTTTATCCTGATAGTTTTTATCTTGGTAAATGACCCTCAAAATTTTTTATTGTGAATTTAAGGATTTTTATAGGAAGGGTCGTTGGAAAGGGCTGAACAACGTCTGCCTGCGAGCTACACTTAGCGGCACAATTAACCGCCCACCCTTTTAAAGTGGCAAATTTTGATGTTATCGCAGTTGTAAGTTATTGGGCATAAATAAGTCAAGTGTGAAAGAAAAAATTACAAGCTACCCACTTAACTTTGTTTTTTTACGCATAAGTTGTGAATAGGACAAGGAACTTCGTTATCATTGCCATACTGCTTACATTGCTTCAGTGGCATTAAAAGTAAACAATTTGAGTTTGTTTTGGTTTCGTAACTTAAAGCTAGTGTTTGGACATCACAAACATGCCATTTGATGCTAATTCAGTGGCGAGAGCCGTCGCTCTTATCGACGAAGGGTTTAGTCAGCGTTACGTGGCGCGGAAGCTTGGTGTCGCACGTACCACCTTAAGGGATGCAGTGAAACGGTTTGGGGAAACTGGCTCTTATGAGCGAAGACCAGGACAGGGCCGAAAAAGATGCACCTCCGCTCGTGACGACCGATTTCTTGTGACCAATGTTCTAAGAAATCGGTTCACTACAGCTGTTGAGACACGAAACCAACTTCGTGAGGTTCGCAATGTTCAAGTGAGTGAAAGAACAGTGAGAAGAAGACTAGGAGAGAATGCCCTTGGAGCTTTTCGACCATCTCGAGTGCCACAATTGCTCGTAGGCCACCGGAGAGAAAGACTTCGTTTTTCCCGAGAGCACGGCGAATGGAATATGGAACAATGGAAGAATGTTATGTTTACTGACGAAACAAGAATATGCTTGCTCGGTCCTGACGGTCGCCAGCGTGTATACAGACGCAAGAATGAAAGGTTTGCACCATGTACTGTTGTGGAAACAGTAGGTTACCAAGGTGGCTCTATCATGATATGGGGCGGCATTACTTACGAAGCACGCACCGACTTGGTTATCTTCGAAAGAGGTGGAATAAATGCTCAGAGGTATGTAACAGAAGTATTGGAACCTCATGTAATGCCATTTGCTCCATTTATTGGCCAAGATTGTTTATTAATGCAGGACAATGCTCGCCCCCACGTTGCTAGAGTTGTTACCGCGTACCTGGATACCGTCGGCATTCGAAAATTAACATGGCCATCCCGGAGCCCAGATTTAAATCCTATTGAACACATATGGGACAATTTAAAACGACGTGTTCGAAGCCGCATACCAGCTCCAACCACCATAGATGAATTAAAACAATCCGTGATTGAGGAGTGGCAGAACATTCCTCAACAACAGACCAAAGATGTCATCGACAGCATGCCAAACCGTTTGATGGAAGTCATGAGGGCTAGAGGTGGAAATACGCACTATTAGAATTCATTTATTCAGCAGATTTTTTATTTTTAAGCCATTTCATCACATTTGTTAATTTATGGTCAAAGTGTTTTTCAGACTTTTTTATAAATAAACGTAATAATTAAAAACAATATTATCTTTCATTTTACTTCAATATACCTACGTTATAAAATAACATTTACAAGTAAGGCCACAATTTTTTTTTTAAACCAAAATCGTAAAAAATCAAGGTGGGCGGTTAATTGTGCCGCTGAGTTTAGTAACTTTATAGATTACTGCTTGTTGCCATCTTGTAAGTAGTGACATATTTCCATTCATTTTCTTTATTCATTCATTACACCCAAATCACCAGCATTTGTCTTTTCAATCAATTACAATGTAGGTGTTTTTAAGGCAAAGATGAATAAGCGTATAAGCTAAGTCAAGTGCGGTTTACCATCTTCAGCTGCATCACCACTTACCATAAGTTGTCAACCACTTAGAAATTAAAAAATTTGTAAAATATGCAGTAGTATTTTGATTTAGTAATGTATTATTTACATTTTATTAATGTGACATTGAAATTTATACAATACTGTTCCCCGCGACTTCGCTCGCGTGTTAGGGTTTTTATGTTTTTGCACGGAACCCTAATTTCTTTTTCTAAAATTAAAGTAGCGTAAGTTACTCCTTGTGTCATCAGCTACCTGCCAGTGGAAGTCCCGTCAAAATCGGTCTAGCCGTTTCAGAGATTAGCCGGCACAAACAGACAGACAGACAAAAATTTTAAAAATTGTGTTTTTGTTATAAGTACTGTATATACATGCAATTAGTTAAAAAGCTGTAATTTTGACATTACGAACAGACACTTCAATTTTATTTATTTGTATAGATAAAAAAAATATAATAAAAAAACTAAAAGTAAAAACCTACCTTTATCATACTGACTTGTAGTATATTGATAAAGTACAGTGGATTTCGGGTGTAACGACGATGAAGGGACCACTCTATTTTCGTCGTTATATACAGAAATTGTTACAGGCAAAGGTAACAAATTCAATACATTACAGTTGCTACTCAGAATATCACTTTGTAACTGAATCATAAATTTAACTCCGAAACGTACACGCTTTCCTACCTACTTAGCTGATATCTATAAACAAAAGGTAAAGGTTTCCACACTTGCTGACCATCTGTGTGGATGTAAACAAAATATGAGAAACGTTTGTGAAAGAAAGAAATCTTTGTGTCTTTGGCGGCCGACTCCGGTCGCAATATCTGCATGGGATTTTTAGGAATTTGTTACAAATGATTCATTAAAAACAGTCGCTACACCCGAACTCGGCGTTACATCTAAAGTCGCTATAGCCACATGAATTTTGTACTAAAATATGCTTTAAATTCAAGGGACTTAGATTTAACGTCGCTATAGGTAAATGGTCGCTACAACCAAGGTCGTAATAAATGAAATCCACTGTATTTTGATTATATTAATTGGCTAATTTCATCATGTAGTAGCAGTGTAAGATTATTCACTACCCTATATCATCCCGTGGATGTCGTAAGAGGCGACAGAGGGAAACTAATCAGGAGATGGGCAGCAGCATCTTCCCTCACTACTAAAAATCAAAAACTGCGGTTGCCAACCCGCTTGCCAAGCGTGGCATCTATGAAATGTTCACCTATGAGGCAATCTATGGGGGAGACCTATGTTCAGCAGTGAACTTTAATAGGCTGTAACAGTAACAGTAATCGTTAATTATTCTAAATGACTTTTTTATTACTCACTGCTTTTAGTAATTTTTTTTTATTAAATTTTTATCGATTTCATCTTACTTAATGACAGAGACAAGTCCCAATATCGTGGTCAGAACGTAAAATTTTATGAAAAAAAAATTACTTTCAATAAAAAGTAAAAGCCAACTTCAAAAAAATAAATCAATCAAATATTCTGAACCCTTAGGGGTAGAATTTTTTCTCCAAATTTATATTGGACCACCTGTTAAGTATAACTTATTTAGAAATTATACTTTGTAGTGGGCACAGATAACAAATTTAGGACAATACAGTGTTCATGTAGCTATAAGAAAAGTGAACACACAATTTGGATTGGGTTTTGATATTTCACCAAGCCAGTTGTCAAATTAAACATTAAAGGAAAAACCATACACACTCTTTGTGTATTGGTTTAATATTCAAAGTACACACTGTGTGTAAAATGTAGTAATTATATGTTCTGTGTGGAATATCAACAAGTTTAAAGACATTACGAGTGAAATGACGATTTTAAATTCGAGGTAGGTAAATGATGGAGTAATTTGTTCATGGCAGTTCAACTACCCAGTTGAGTAGGTACGTAGCTCACATCAACAGCTCGCTAACCCTCTCAGATAAGGGAGGTCTTTGCCCAGCTGTGGAACTAGTATATTGATTGTAACGTCACATTACAGTTGTTCGCAGACCCCGCTACGTACGTGTAAACACGAACCTCTTAACTACATCAGACGCAATACGAGCCTTCCAAGACGAAGGATACCACTTTATAAGGTGCACCTCGGGTTCTTACAATGACTACCTCAGTCAAATTCAGAGCCTTACCGAGTACGATTTCACACAGGATTACCACGTCAAAACTGTGTTCGTTTTCGCAGCTGGAACGAAATTACATGAACATGAGCTGTATTTGGAAAATAAGATTATTTTACAAGATAAGGTATGTCAGTGAACACTGCTATTTTAGGCTATTAAAATATATTACAAATAATTAATAATACTAACTGAAAATATTTAAAGAAAAAAAAAAAAGAAAAGTTGATTAATTTGCCGCCATGTTACGTTATTTCAAAACTTTTAAAGTGACTGTTATATTATAAGTACACGCTATGGATTGGAGCGTTAAAGTAAATATAATTTCAATGATTGCGATGCGCAAGTTGGGTATAAAGCCGCACACGCACTGAAGCAACGCCTCGGATTGATTTACCCATTACTTATAACGTGGTAGAGCCATGCTTCATTGGCTCTACTGGGGAAGGATCACGTTCTAACAGAATACCAGTGTAAAATAGCAGCTTAATGCTGCTGTGTTTCGTATAGTGAGTGTAGATGAACCGGAGACGTCTTTTTACTGGAAACGAGGCATTCCATTTTAGTCCTCAGGGGTGACAACGAATCAGCATTTTGATTCTTAATCGAAAATGGATGTAGATGTATTTGAGCCACAGCATCCTCTTACCATTAGGTGGACTGAGTACTCATTTGTCACCCTTATTCTATAAAAATAAACTCTCAGACATGAGAGGAAATTTGTGCTGTGTACATAGGTTGTAACTTTTACTATGATTATAATTACTTGATACTACTTGAAATATTCTCCAGAAAAACATTTATCTTTGACATAAACATTTATCATCATTTTTTGTCATTAAAAGAGAGACACCAAGGTGATTCCTTAAGTATCTTGTTTTGTTTAATTTGGCACGGAACTACGTTTTACGATTGAGTATTCTGTGACGGAACACTAAAATAACCTTTTCTCGAATTGTATTCAGGCAACAGCAATGGCGGTTCATTTGTTGGCGCCACCGCCTGGCAGCACGGTACTGGATATGTGCGCAGCACCAGGCATGAAGACAACGCAACTCGCTGCTTATATGAGAAATGAGGTATAACTTAACACTTGTGTTATCTACCAATCGTTATTAACCATAAAGCAACCCGGGCCTCTGGTGAACCGGAGGGGAGTAGCCATAGCGTATTTCCCAGAAACAGAACTATCTGTCATTTTTGCGGGGGAAATCTGCGCACACCAAAACATCGTCTGTTACTACAATAGTCACAACAGTTAAAACAAACTTATAATTTCACACAACATTTCAACATAGATACATTATAATATACAGACAGTATAATATACATTGTAATTACAGACTCGGATTAGTTGCTCGATAGATCCGTATATTGTATGAGGGCGAGCGGCCTGTGTTGGTAAACAAATCCGAAACAACACGACCATTATTATTGTAATTTTTAAGTTAAAAAAAAGTGAATACCAACAATATGATTAAAAATGACTTAATATGAAAGGTAACGTCATCTTTTTGTGAATTTGACGTGGCAGATCTCTTTTTGCAGCAAAATACTAAACAATTCGGCATTCGGTAGAACGTTCGGGTACCGGAGACCCTTTTTACTGATAACGAGGCATTACATCTTATGTCTTGATGGTGACAACGCATCTGCATTTTGATTCTTAATCGATGACAGATCTCGATGTCTATGGGACATAGTAATAACATCTATTTACCATCAAGTGGCCTATGAGCAAGTTTGTCACCTTTATTATTTAAAAAAAGGCATCTATATTGTAATCGTATAGAAAGACAGATGCGAGCAAATTATTCCACTCCTATGTTGTGCGCATTAAGAATGACGAAGCCAACTTTTTGGTTCGAATGTAGTACATATATCCAAACAAAACAGTGGAGACTGGAACGCAGAAGATTGCAAATTATTCCCCTCTTTTATTGTACACATTACGAATGAAGAAGCAAACCGTTTGGTACGAATGCGGTAGGAAGGGCGACGGAGAAATTATGTCATTCAATTCCTGCGCACATTCTCCGAAATGTATCATGTAAATCATCAAAAGTGTGCGCTCAAGACTGGCGTGTTATTTTATTATTATTTTTTATAGAAAACGTTACCTCCACACTAGGATTTTCTCCTGTATTGTGGGGGCAGTTTACAAACACAAATAGCACAAGGACAAATATCCAGACACGGACCAATTATTTGTAGGCCATACAAATACTTGTTCCGTGCGGGATTCGAACCCGCGGCCCTTAGCGCAGCAACTCATTGCTAAGCCACTGCGCCACGGAGTCGTCAACTGTGTGTGGCACTGGTTTATTATTTTCAAAGTTATTTTTGTAACATCATAATATGTTTGTGTGACGTGTGCGGTGTAGTGGCATATTACGTGATTGTAAAATACCGCTGCATTCCGTGAACAACTGTAACTGGTAAAATTAAAAATTTGTACAACCAACTTCAATATAAATAAAATGAGAACATCATCAATGTAGTCGAAGTCAATTAAATACACATTATTAAGGATAACTCAAAAACTACAGGTCAGATCTTGATCAAATTTATATGGGACCACATGAGAAGCACCAGTTTTCAAAATCAAAAAATCAACAAAATCGGTTCACCTAGAAAATAGTTCTGAAGCAATACACAAAAAAATACAGTCCTTGAGTCTGTTGAGTATCTCCTTCTTTTTTGTAGTTGGTTAAAAAGAAGGCAACCAGCAGTGCGAATGCGTAACTCAGGTGGGAAGTGTGGTTGACTTTGTTTGACGGCATTTGGTTTGGTTATTTTGTGTTACAGTATTGATCGATTTTTTTAGAATATCTTATTTTAGGTTACTAAATGTTATTATCATAACAAAAAAAACAAGATAGATATTGAGTTATCCCCGGTATACCATTCCCTGTACAGTCGCATTGCCGGGCCTGTCAACCCCAAGGCTTGCGATACAGTGCCATGTGATGTTATTTTAGTTTTATAATATTATAATGACAAACGAGCTAAAAGCTTAGCAGATACAAAGAAGCTACTGCGACACAGAGATATCTGCAATTAACATAAAAAATTAAGGTTATAGATGAAAAAAATCTGTCTGGGTTTTTTTGCTGGTTCTTGCCGTATATACTTACTAAGTATATTCTTTATTTTCTCCCAAGATAGATTCTTCCGATACAGTAGTAAAAGTAACAGATTGATTTTCAATTATTGTTTTATAATCGATGTTAGATAAAAAATATTTTATTCTAATGTTCATCAACATAACAAAAAATAATGTTATAATATAACATTACAGGGTAAAATCTACGCCGTGGAGAGAAATGAGGAACGTTATCAGACATTGTGTGACTTCGTAGAGAGAACCGGCTCAAAGTGCGTGGAGACATTGCACAAGGATTCTTTAGATATAAAAAGAGGAGACTACGATGATGTGGAGTACATCCTTCTGGACCCGAGTTGTTCTGGGTCAGGTATGATAATTTTCTTCTTCACAACATTATATAATCAAGGAAAACATCGTAAAGAAACCTGCATATCTGAGTAATAAAAATATTTCAAAGACACGCGAAGTCCGCCGTTACAGTACATTAACTGGAGCAACAGGGCGGACTAATTGCTCCACAATCCTTTCATAAATGAGAGAAGCAATGGGACATCTAAAAGAAGTCCTCGATATACTATAGGCATATTTCTTATACATAAGCCACAATAAGGGATTTTGTGACAAAAAATATTGATAATTAAAAAGTGATTTATGAACGTTATTATTAGGCATGGCATATTAATCCTTACCAACGAAAGTTACTTCATAATTAAGACAATTTTATGAAGATGAATTTTGCTCTTTATAGCATGTTACTCGGCACGCGAATGATGCCTAGACGCTCGATGAGAACAGAGAGAAACCAGCAACAGTAAATTGGTGAACGCCTTTATAAGCGAGGTGTCATGTCGCGAGCTCAGAGCGTGTGATACCGCGGGTAACAGCTAGTTCAGTATAAAGTGTTTCCTATTATTTCGGTCTCCTCTGTGTGTCCACTATAGTTACGCTACAGCTGTATTATGACTGCATTACTTGACCGATATTTTACCTATTGAGATATACTTATCACAGAGTACCAGATTTTATAACTACTATAACTACCTACTAGTAATGAGGCATTTCATTTTAGTGTATATAGTGTAGGGGTAAAATGTATCATTATGATTCTTAGTCAAAAATAGATGCAGGTGTCTATTTTTGATAAATTATATATATAAATAAATTGTTACCCTTGTATATTTTTTTAATAGAATAAGCGTAACAAACAGCACAAAGTCCCCTTGATGGTAAGTGGATGCTGTGGCCCATAGACATCTACATCTATTCTCAATTAAAATCAAAATGCAGATGCCTTGTCACCTCTGAGGATTGAGGTTGAATGCCTCTTTTCAACCACCATACGAAACAGCAGCGAAAAGCTGTTATTTTACGCTGGTATTTTGTGAGAGTGTGTTCCTTATTCTGGTCGAGCCAGCCCATTTGTGATACAACCATGATATAGCTGCAGCGTGGTTCAACCACGTACGAAACTAAATAAAATAAACTATATGTCGTGTATCGTATGTCTTTTTATTATAATAAGGCATTTTATTTACAGGAATGGAGCTTTGCGTACACAATTATATTGAGGATACTCGATTAGCCAAGCTAACATCACTGCAAGAAAAATTTCTTAAACACGCCATGAATTCCTTTCCTAAAGCAAAGAGAATAGTATACAGCACTTGCTCTTTATTCCCGGAAGAGAATGAAAGAGTCATCACAAACATAGTTAAAACATCAAGGGCCAAATGGAGAGTACAAGACGTAAAAGAACTCTTAAAAGGTCAATGGAATAACTTTGGGTCAGGAATGTACGGTAGCATAGGTACAAGATGTATGTATGCGAAACCTGATTCCGACTTTACAACTGGATTCTTTTTGGCTGTACTGGATCGAGATCAGAAAGAATTGGAAAAGAAAGAAAAAAATGAAAATAATGCAATAAATGGAGAAGAAAAGGTAACGAAAAATATAACTAATGCAAAATATGCATCCATTAGTAGTAATAATGACATTAAAACCAAAAAAATTAAATTAGATGAGCAAACAGCTTTACGCAACAAAACTGAAGACGAAAATTCAATTACCCCGATACATAAAAGGAAGAAAAGTAGTTCAAAAGAAGTAGACGATAATTTGACGACGCATGTCGAAGATAAAACCGTTAAAGAAACAATTGACAAAAATAAAAGTAATGACAAAAAGTCGAAAAAAATTAAGCAGTGTGAAATCTCAGAAAGCTTTAAACCTGAAGAGACTGAAAGCTTAACCATGAATGCTGAAGAATCGGTTATTTTGGACTCAGAATTAAGTAATAGAAAGAAAAAAAAGAGATCGAAAGTAGCGAATGATAATTATTTTGATGGTGGAAACCTCGACATGCACGTCGAAAATAAAGCAAGTGAAGACATAATTGACGAAAATGAAAGTAATGCTAAAAAATCGAAAAAAATTAAGCATCGTGAAATTTCAGGAAACTTAACACCTGAAGAGATTGAAAACTCAACTGTTGATGTTGAGGAATCAGTTATTTTAGACTCTGAAACAAATGTTAGAAAGAAAAAAAAGAAAAGGAAATCGGAAGCAGTAGACGATAATTATTTCGATGATGGCAGCTTTAACACTCACGTTAAAGATGGAAGCAATAAAGAAATAATTGTCGAAAATAAAAGTAATACTAAAAAGTCGAAAAAATTTAAGCAGTGTGAAATCACAGAATGCTTAAAACCTGAAGAGACTCAAAACACAATTATTAACATAGAAGAATTAGTTAATGTGGACACGGACGCGATTAATAAAAAGAAAAAAAAGAAAAAAGATAAAAGAAAAGATGGTGACAATTTAGATGCGCTACTCGAAATAAATGTTGAAAAAATGGTCTGTAAAAAAAGGAAACGAAATGTTTCTGAAGAGCCAACAGTTTAAGTTAAATAGAGAAGGAATTAGAAATATGAAAAAAAAATTAAAATCGTTGTCAATGAAACTGTAAAACAGAAAAGAGAAATGAATTAAATCGTGAATGTCATTTGATTTTCTATTATTAAATAAAAATCGTAATAACTATTACTTCTTCCATCTATCCATCCATTATAACCTATAAAAGTCCACGCTGAACATAGGCCTCCCGCATAGATTGTTTCATTGGAGGGATTTTGCCATAGTTGCCACGCTTGGCAAGCGGTTTGGCAACCGCAGTATTTTATTATTTTGTGTTGTTATCAGGAAAATGCTGCTGCCCATCTCCCAGTTTCCCTCTGTCGCCTCTTACGACACCCAGGGGATGATATGGGGTAGTGGATATTCTTACACCGCCAGAACACGGTTGGTTAACTATTGCTTTTTATTCTTCTCTATTTTAAACTCAAAAAGAAGGTTGACTATGCGCTTGTAACAATATGTATGCGGTAATAGCGCGTTTGTAGTTGTAAATTTCGTCCAGATAGTTACTGCAGAAGCGTACGTTTGTGTTTATACATCATTTCTCCGTTATTTATATGCTGTTAGAATGTCAAATTAAACGTATTTAAGTATCGAAGAAGTATTTAATATGATAATGTATTTTTTTAGTGTACATGTATGTTGATATGAATATATATATATGCTTATGTATGTACGTATATATTTGTATACATGTATAAATAGGAGATATTTTTATAGTTTATTTATTGTATATATTAGTAAAATGTATATATAACGTAATTAATTATCACTTCTATTTTGTTTTTATTCTATATTGCTACACCTACTTCAAATTCTCACCACTCCATGGGTTGACTGGTAGAGAATGCCTCAAGGCATTAAGTCCGCTCTTTGTATTCTTTTAGATTAAGCAGTGCAATAAAGAATAAATATATAAATAAAAAGAACATATTACATATGCATAGAAGAGCCACGGTGCAGCTATATTATGGTTGTGACAGTAATGGGTCGGCTCGACCGGCGCAGGATCACTCTTACAAAATACCAGCTTAACGCCGCTGTGTTTCATATGGTAATCGTAGAGGACCTGAGACCCCTTTCGCTGGAAACGAACATCTTAGTCTTCAAGGGTTTATTTGTTCAAAACATCGGCATTTTGATTCTTAATTGAGAATAGGTGTAATGTCTATGGGCCAAAGCATCCACTTACGTAGAGAATTCCTCGTAATAGGACACATCAATGAGTTGTAGAAATGCGTTCTATTTTTTCCGAATCTTTAATTGTTAGTAGCCAAGGCCAGAAAAGAACTAAATTAAAAATTACCCAGTTTTTTTCAAACTTTTCATTTGGCGGGAATTTGATTCGTATGCAAAATGGAGGTGAAACTCGAACTTCGTGCGGTTGTTAAATACTTCTGCTTAAAAATTAATTCTACAAAAAGTGTTTTTGAAGAACTGCAGTCTAAATTGGCAGACAAGCTCCGTCTTATTCTACAGTGGTATATTGGTGCGCTGAATTTTACCACAACAATGACGACACTCAATCCGGGGGGCCAACAACGGCCGCTACGCAAGAAAACGTTAAAAAATCGAAGAAATTGTTAAGGTAGATCGACGTGTTACCATCCGTAATTTAGCTGGGATTCAAAAGCTTTCGTTTGGGATAATTCGGTTTATGTTAACTCATACCTTAAAATTCAAAAAAGTAGCCGCGCGCTGAGTTGCTCGAATGTTAACCCCAATAGAAAACAAAAGTTTTTTTTTTATAGGATAGGGTGACAAACGAGCACACAGTCCACCTGATGGTAAGTGGTTACTGTGACCCATAGACATCTACATCCCCAATAAAGACTCAAGATGCAGATGCGTTGTCACCCGTGAGGACTAAGATGGAATGCCTCTTTGCCAGTAAAAAGGGTCTCCGGTTCTCTACACTCACCATACGAAACATAGCAGCGTTAAGCTGCCATTTTACGCTGGTTTTCTGTGAGAGCGTGGTCCTTCCCCGGTCGAGCCGACCCATTCGTGCTACAACTATACTACTAATATAGCTGCAGCATGGCTCTACCACGTAAAAAAAACAAACAACAACAACAAAGTTGACATTTCAAAGCTAAATTTAGCAATAATTGAAGACAATCGAGATTATTTTTGCGTTCGTTTTGTAACCGTTGTTGAACCGTAGGTATACCATTTTGACCCGGAGACGATAAAACAAAACGAAGTTTCAGCTGATGCAGCACCCACCATATTCTCCAGACCTAGCTCTTTTTTCAAAGGGAATTAACCAACTTAAAAAACGCTATTAAAGGTGTATTAGCTTAAAAGGCGATTAAGTTGAAAAATAAATATAATTTACATATACTTATCTTAGAGTTTCATTGAGTTTTCAAAAACTTATTGATCAACCTAGTATGTGTTAGGGCTAAAAGCCGAAGTGCAGTTGATTGCGGTTGGTTAAAGATGTATCGGTTTTATTTAAAAATTAGTTAAACGCTACACCTTACAGCTACACCCAATTCTACTGTAGTTGATATTACCAATATTACATAAGGACGTTATACCTACGTTCCAAGCGCTGATTAGCTCAAAACAGTACTTTTATCGACCAAATCGGCGATACATTAAAAATGGGCCAGATTAGGAGTACCCATAACCGACGAGCGTGTATGCGTAGATATATGGATGTAAAAGAGGCGAGAGAGGTGTGTCAGGATCGCGCCAAATGGAAGTCCGTAGTCTCTGCCTACCCCTCTGGGTGACAGGCGTGAGTGTTTATGTATGTATATGTATGTAGTACTTTTCAAACCTGTTCATATCGATCAACCGCTTACCTTACACACACGTTAAATACTCATTAGTTTAGGAAATTTTATTTTCTTAATAGTTATAAGAGTTTTTTTTTTTATATGAGGTTTTCTTTATTTCCTTTTTAGCGTCAATTTCAAAGCTTAAAATATCTGAGATAGCTGACAATTTTATGAAACAAAAAAATAAAATTAATTTGACAAACCCTAAGGAAAATAGTTACTAAAAAAGATATTTTGAGTTAGGTTATATACCTACATAAGTAATAAAAAATTAAAAAAAAATATCATACATGACTAGTTTATAAATATAGGTACCACAAATATTAATTTCTGATGCTAGTCCAGACGGCAAATATGAACCTGGTTATTTAGAAGTGAAATGCCCATGATTCGATTATAATATGGAACCAAAAAAGGAATCAAACAAAAGAAAATTGCTGACGTTTTCACAGTTAACACAAAAATCAAATGGTGCTACCAAGTTCAGGGCCAATTACGTTATGGTTAAAATATGTGTATATTTGCCTGTGGATAGGCGGCGGTAATATTGAATTTGAATTCGTAAAAAGGATGACCAGTTCTGGAAGGGAAACTTGAATACTAAAGGTATATGACTAAGATATCATAGGTCACATACGAATAAAAACATACCGACAAAATAACGTGTAATATATGTATGCGTGAGGGCGTGTCAAGAAGTTGAGCATGGTTTCAGCTTCTCTTAAAATGTCAAGTTTAGTAAGGTATGATCAAAGAGATTTAAATATATAGGTACATCATAGACTTAGGATATACTGGCGTATAGACGACCTGACAGCCCGAAAACGCGTGACCAATTTTGATTTATTATTGTGTGAGTTGGCTAGTGATGTACATTTTACTTAAAAGAGCTATCGAAAAATTTTTGTTCAGAAACCGGTTTAAAGACTAAAAAAATAGTTTAGTGCACAGAACTGAATAACTTTTGTGCACTAAACTATTTTATTAAAAATTAACTAAATTTTTACCATGATAGTTTTAAAATAACTAAAAATATTCAAATAACATGTTACCGGGAATAAGCTGCACCCACCTGCCTTTTCCATCATCCATAATCCATTACAGCCTATAAAAATCCACTGCTCACATGGGCCTCCCTATAGATTGCCTCATAGGGGGGATATTTCCCATCGCTTGGCCAGCGGGTTGTCAACCACAGTTTTTTATTATTTCGAGTTGTTATCAGGAAGATGCTGCTGCCCATCGCCTCTTTCAGTTTCCCTTTGTCACCTTTTATGATACACATGGGACTATATTGGGAAGTGGAAATTCTTTCACCGGTACCACTTGCCTTTTGTTGGACTTTAATTCAAAATGTACAAAATTGCAATAATATCTGAAGAGGCGAGGTAAGTCTACCGATAAAATGAAACAATTTTCTCCAACAATCAGATCGGAAAGCTATATTTTTGA